CTCCAAAATGCCCCGGGTTTCTTCTGCTCTGAAACCTATTACAGCCCTCCCCATGTGGGGATCCTAGGAGGGTCTTCATCCTCTAGCCAAGACCCAGCACCCAGCAGCTACCTCCTCCCTGTCACACCATCTCAAACCTGGGATCTTTGCCTTGTTAGTCTTATGAAGCACCTAACAAGCTCCTCAGGGAAGATCTGGCTGTTAGAGGACCAGGGGCCTTAATGCAGCTAGCTATCCAACAGAAACGATTTCTCCTAAACTTCTGTTCTGCAGGATGTTCCACTCCAGAAGGCCCAGTACAGGGGAAGGGGGAGGGTTCTCCCAGCACTAATGGGGACTACAATGAGATACAGGGATCCCTGCACACTGGTGAGCAAAGACCTGATACCACCTCGCCCAGGCTCTCAGGTGGTCTCAAAAGGAACTTCAGGGATAGGAACACATCTCAGAAGAGCAACTCAACCCATGACTTTACCTGTTTCTGCCCTTCTGCACTCAGAATACAGAAAGCTCAGACCCTGCCCTCCATTAGGAATGGCCCCAACCTCACATTAACTTCTTATGTGACACACCTATATCACACCAGGCCCTGTAGGTCCAGGTCTGACTCCACACCCACTCTGTATACAGGGTGCCAAGGACAGTCATCTCCCTCCCTGGCTGGAGAGCCCTGAAGAAAAATGTCAAACATGTCACAGGGAGAAACAGGTTTGGATCTCTTATTAACACAGGTAAGTGGGCAGAGAGGGGTCCAGAGGGGTCCCAGTGAGGTAAGCCTCAGTACTTACTCTACCTGCAGGGCCAGACAAGCAATGGGGCCAGCAGTGGGGAAGCTGGGGCACCATGAGGATGAAACAGGCCTCACTCACTAGTGTTGCTCCTCAACTTGCTTCATTTTCCCTGTCCTCCAAGGGACAGGGACAACGAATCAAGTAGGTGCTTCCTCAGTCAACCCAGCACACAGACCTGAGATGTAAGGCTATCTATACCCCCTAATCAGCAGTTTTGCTTTCAATGGTTTCAGTTATCTACAACCCAAAAATTATTAAATGGAAAATTGAATAAACAATGAATTTTAAATAACTTTATTTTTTTAATATGGTGCTGAGGATTGAATCCAGTGCCTCACACATGTGAGGCACTCTGCCACTGAGCCACAATCCCAGCCCACAATTTGAGTTTTATATTGTGTGTTTAGACTAAAATGAAATTTTGTACCATCCTGCTCCAAACAGCTTATGTGAATTATCCCTTCACCCAACATATCCACACTGTATCTACTACCCTAATCATTTGACGCGTAGTAGCCTTCTAAGTTATGAGATCAGCTGCCCTAGCATTGTAATGCAATGTTCGAGTAACCTTTATTGAATAATGGCCCCAAAGCAAAATAGTAGTAATGCTGGCAATTTGAATATGTTAAAGAGAAGCTGTGAAGTTCTTCCTGTAAATGAAAAGGTGAGTTTTCCACTTAATTAGGAAAGAAAAAAAATGTTGCTAAGATATTTAATACAATAATTTCAACATTACATTCACTATTACCATTTAATCTCCCATTGTTAATCTTTTACTATGCCTAACTTTAACATAAATTATGTGTATATGTATACTTATTTATGAAATAATAGTTGTTATTTTGCCCAGCCAGCCGGCCTTCGACAGATGGTGGCCCGTTACGGGAAGCCCCGGGTCACTCGGGGGTAAGTGACGAAAGAAAAAAAAAAAAAAGCTGCCCGTCCATAGATAGGACGGGAGCAAATCTGCTCGTCCCTAGGCAGATAGGGCGAGAGGAAAAATGGCCATTTCGAGAAAATGGAGATTGATACAGTATGTTTCTGTCTTGTTTTGTCTCAGTGTATTGTATTGTCTTTGTGATGAGAATATGGAAGGGGTGAGAAGTAAATTACTAAGGGAAGAAGGCACCCCAGTGGAACCAAGAATAGTTAGGGCATGTGTTGATAAGAGCCCAGGAACTCTAGTCAGAAAGAAAAAGAAAGTTCAGAAGGATTATCAGGAAAAAAGTTGCAGCAAAAGGCTATTACTAAATACTTTTCGTTACCGGAGGGTGCGTGAAGCGGAGAGGCGGCTGCCGAGTGTGCAAGCCGGTCACAGCGCAGCAAGGATTTTCCAAGAGGCGGCGGCGACTGGCCCTTCCCCGCCTCCTGGCCGGGGAGCTGGCTCTTCCACTGCCGCGAGCCCAAATCTAGACCTGACCTGGAGGCACAGTCTCACAGCCTCTTGCTCCCTGTGCCCAGTAGCAGTTTGAGTCCGGGACACTCCCCAGTGCCATCTGGGGCTGCCCAGGCACTACAGCCAGCAGAAGACGCTACTGGTGTCCCTGATATTTGGTCATTTTCAATGCCAATAACTAAGCTACAATGGTTCTCCCATACCTGGAAGCTGATGAGTAATGAGCACTATTAATGCTTATTTCAAATGCAAAAAAACCTTGAGATAATGTACTAAATTGTTCAGAAGGTTGTTTTCTTAGTGGAATGCTACAGGATTTTCTTTAGCCTTCCAGAGTTCCTGCCTTCTTCCCAGTGCCTGTGAAAACGAGGGTGGAAGAATTTCCAGTGTTGCTGAAAACCGGATGAAGCTTCGGCTGAGAAACGGACGAGACTTCGGAGCTGTTGCTGTTTCTGCTGCTACAGCTTAGGCTAGCTGCCTGCAGAACTTACCTGGACTGTGATTTAAGCTAGCTGCCTGCAGAACTTACCTGGACTGTGAGTTAATCTATTGAGACACTGCTTTACCTGGACTGAGACAACAAACTGTAATCTACAACAAATTGTAACTCGGTATCTTTGCTAACGGTGTCATTGCTGGTATAATTTTTCCAAGGGCTTCTTGCATGGAGCCATCAACTGGCTTGGTATTGTGGCATTTTGTATCCTCCCCTTCTGCTAGTAGCAATTATTTATGGTGTTTATGTAAAAACCACTATGGTTGTTATTTAAATTAAACAAAAGGGGGAAATGTTAGAGTCTGTAAACCAAGTCTGGATGGCGCCTGGCAAAATGCCAGAGGGAGTGGTTTGTGAAGTAACGCCAGAGAGCCATTAAGTGTGGAGATTCCTTATTGGTTGACTGCTGTATCTAGTTTATGTTAATTAGATAAGCTGTGTGTAATGTATAAATACCTCTGTTGTCCTACAATAAACGGCTTCCACTCCTGCTGTATCAATCTACACAAGTTGTTCGTCACCCCCTGGTTATTTTGCTGCAGCCAGACTGCGGCAAATAGTATATTCACTAATGAGGTTTCAGGTATCCACTGGTGGGGGGGACGCAGTCTTGGCACACATCTGGAACACAGATACGCTGATGCATTCCTCATAATTCCTAACTTCTATTAGGACCTACATTGCTTTTGCCAAAAGATGACAACCTGGAAGCATGTCAGGCTGGGCAGTATGTACCCTTACTTAGCCTACATGATGGCCAGTAGGGCTGATGCTGACTCAGTCCCCTGCATGTCTCCCTTTGAGCAGAACTTCCTACAGTGTCAAAAGCTATTTCCTTCAATGCACCCCATGATACAATCTGAGCAGAGGATGGTAGTGTCCCCCATTCATTCTGAAGAGTCTTTCTGCTGCCAGAAACACCATTTGGAAACACTTCTCCCATCCCTAGATGAAGGAATTTATTGGAACCCAAAGCGAAGACAATGTTAAACATTCATTCTATCCCAGTGGAGGGCTTTCTTCAAGGAAGATCAAGTCATGGTATGCAACATATCTGACTCCTGTGCCTGTGAGGCTTCAAGGGAATGTAAACAGCACAGTGAAGTTCCACCTATGATTTACAGCATCACAATTCTACTGCTATAGGACTTAATGGTCACTGTGTGCAATCCTCAACTCCTCCTGGGGTAGAGCCCCACCAAGCCACTACCAATGTGCTGGAGGTAATTCACAAGGTTCCCAGCAGATAAGAGATAGCCTGTGCAGTCTTTGTGTGGGTTTTTATAATAAGAGCAGCTGATTCCCGCAGGAATTGGGAACTGTGTTTAAACAGGACATACACTCACCAAGCAGGACCAGGCACTTAGGAAGGTCAGACAGAACAGCCAGTAGGAGACACCACTGACAGATGGAGAGATTAAGGAGCAACAGCAGAAGTGTGGCAGATGCCCACACTTTACCCTGGTAGATGTTAAGGGCAAATTGCCACAAGTCATGATTGAGTCCGTCTTGTGGCCCATCTGGGGTCAGGTCCTTGCTCAAGCCTGCCCTATGGTGGGGAGGGCTGGCACAACTCCTCAGAGCCTTGTCTCTTGGTCACCTTAGACACATGACAGTCAGAACATGCTTTAAAAAGCCTCTTGTACACGAAATCCTTTCTCCCCTTAAGAAAATGTCTGCAGAGAACATGTTTTGCTATACCAAACCTCAAAGAGCATGCTTGAAAACACCTCTTATTTAAAGCTACTGCAGATGCTCACAATTCAAACAAGGCTGAGTTTAGATTTCAAGTCCAGGAGGTCCAGAATTGAGATAGTTTGCTCCAAGTGGTGAGGTATCTGACAGGGTTTCCCACAGGAGAGATATAGGACTAAGCCCCACTTGGCAAGGACTATGCCCACCACTCTGCCAACAGGGGCCAACTAGAACCAAATGCATACACACACACACACACACATACATACACACACTGTGCCTACCTATCTCCTCACCACAGTGCAACAGCAGCTGTTCAGGCCTAAAGAAGTGGCAGAACACACCTCAGCACCATGCACCAGCCCCTGTTCCAGCACAGGCTGACACACCATGCCTCCAGTGGCCAACAACAGCTCAAGTTCTCCAAGACCCACAAGACCCACAACCTCAGCAAGGCAAGGAGTCTTCCAAGATACAACCCGTGGCAACATCAAGACCCACCATCACAGTCACACCTGAACATGCATACTCAAAAGGGCTCAGGCAGGCACCCCCAGGAGCTAGCCAGGACCCACAGTGCTCACAGTACTGTCCACACACATGCAGTCCTACCATCTGGTCCAGGTTTCAAATGCATTTTTTATTCACTATTTTTGATGACTATAAATAAGTGTTTCCACTATGGAAAAGAAAGTTAGCACAGTACATTTTCATGACTGGGGAATGGATTTTCTCAAGTCATCTTCAATAAGGTAAAAACTTAAGAAAAAAAAACCTGAATGTTGGAATTCAGTTCTTTATATAAAGTCCTTATGAAAACATAACAGAATAAAAATAAACCCAAAAGGAAGGGCAGGGCAAAATTAAAAAAAGAAAAAGAAGAAAACGAAAGAGGAAAAGAAATTAAGACGACTCATTGCTTCTCCGATTTCTCCTCAGTCTCCTCTCCAGGTTCCTTGTTCTCCTCCTTCACAGAAAGAGCTTCCAGCTTTTCGGTCACTTTTTCAGCATTATCATTTTTGCCCAGTCCTACCAAAAAGGAGAGCACAGTAAGAAAACAGAAGTCCAGATTATGCTGCCTCCTCACCAGGCCCAGAGCAGAGGATACTTTATCCCTGAGCACTGCCCACTAATCTCCCCAGCTGAGCCCAGAGAAGACACTGCTGGCCACTCTTACTGGGCTGCTCAGTGACATCTGGTCACTTACTACCACAGCCACCATCTGCCCCTAAGAACCAGGAGATCAAGTCCTACAAAGAGAAAATGAGGATATGATTCTCAAATCACCTGATAGGTTCCATACATTATGACCTAACTGCCCACCTGGACCCCACTGATGTGAGCCATGATGATGAACATGAACTCAGGAGGCCCCCCCCCAGGAAGCACCCTGTGTCCCCAGGCAGCTGCACTGTTCCTGACAAATTCAGGCAGCCACAGCTCCTGGAATGTTTTTTTAGCAGACTGAAAAAGCACCCGCCTGGGACTGCAGCTGGGTGCAGAGTGAGTCTGCAAGGAACCCCCCACCCAGGGGCATAGTGTCACCTTTCTTTTCTCTCTCTTCAATTGCTTTCCTGCATTCTTCAAACTTTGTTTTGAATTTTTGTGCATCTGTGGAAAGAAGAGAGATAAATTCCTAAGAGCCCAAGTGTGGAAAGGACATATCCTAGAGGGTCTGAAAGACCAAGATTCCCAGAGGGCTCTTGTCCTATATGCAATTTTTAACCTAAGGATGGGCTGGGCCATCTCCCTTCATCTGACTGTGACAATTCATACCATGAAGGAGACAGTGAACTCTTTTCCAAGGACTATTCTCTACAACCATCCTCCCCATCTGACAAGGGCCCATAAAGTGCACCAGGCACTGGGAGCCACACAGTGTTGGAGGGACATCCCCCCTCCACCAAACCATCAACTACTGGGGACATGGCAACCACTAACTCCTCAGCTTTCACAAATCCATGAAAAAACCCTAGGCAGGAGAGAGGTCAGCCTAGATCTACGGACCTCTGCATGGTCTCTGCAGGTTGTTGGTATCCAGGTGACATCACTGTACCTAGCCTCAGGGAGCCATAAACCTGGCAAAAGCACCAATGGGTAGGAAATCCTGAGGTTCGACTCAGGCTCCACTCACCCAATGGGAATTGGAGCTTGAGGAGCAAACTAAGTGCTAGATCTGGGACTGTACCATGGACACTTGCTCAGCACTAGCACTTAAGAGGAAACACCCTGCACAGCCCCCAAATAGCATGCCAAAACTCTCCAATGAACATTCCCAGTCACTGTCACCTTTTCTCCAAAAGCAACACTGCACTGCAATGCTACAATAAGTAGGTCTCCAGGGTACCCCATTCCACTTACTCTCAGCGTTTAGGAAGCGGATGGCGAGCAGCTCTGGCTTAGGGTACTCATCAGCAAAGTCAGCATGGGTGTTCCAAACCCAGGCACGGTCGCTGCCGGCGTTTGGCTTCAGTTCCATCGTTGGCGTGACTTGGAAGAGAGAAGCCTATGAGGCTGATGGGGACTACCTAGGAAAGCTCACAAACCCTTCGGCCAAAAAGAGTTCTGCTCATCAAACTGAAAGACTCATTTCAGGCAACATAGAAAATATGGGGTCTGAGAATCGGGCCCAGACAAAATCCCACAGGGTTTACATTTCACCCAAACCTCTTTGAAAACAGTCCATATTCACTTAAAACCATCCACATTTAGGACAATCCTGAATGTGGGAAGGCACTCGCTCCCTGACCATGAGGATATCTCTGAGGGTTTCCTGAACTATCTTAAGACCACTCAGCACAGATGACCCTACCTCCAGAAAAGTGGACATGGGTAAAGCAAGCTTCAGTTTTGATTCCAGTGTGACTACTCACACCAAGACCCTTGGTAGTAGCCCCCCAGTGTTGTAGTCCCAAGGCCTAAAGTCAGACATCAGGGCAAAGTCAAGGGAGCCAGCCCTTCCTAATGGCATTCAATCTGGCTGATTAAAAGGTGGGGGTCAATGGAAGGGAAGAAATCCAGAAACAGGACTCTCATCCAGGACACATAATCAGGCCAGCATGAACACTCCATGTTCTATCGTCTAAGACGACCACTGAGGAATGAGAACAGTTGATATCAGAGTCCCATAACAAATGCTTCTAAGTCATGAAGACAGGGCAATGGCCTAGAATAAACATGCTTATCCTGAACCCATTGGGCCCATGCAAACTTGAGGGGAGAAGAAGGGAGACAGGTCCCACAGCCAATTAGGGAGTGTCCCCTAAAGAGAGCCTCTTGTCTACAGATGTCTTGTAGACACCTTGTCCCTGGTATCTCCACCCAGTCAATGACCCCTGTGCCTCTGGCAGAAGTCTCCAGGGACTCCAGGTGGGTCCATGACCCCAGTCACAGCCACACCTACAAATCAGTGTAAACTAGAGCTCAGAGATCTCATCCACTGCAGCCCAACATAATAGTCTCCAGGCCTCCTGTACATTCTACACATCCATACCTCCTCCACACCCCTCTTGGATGCCTGGCCTACACTCACAACCATCCTCCCCACCTGACAAGGGCCCACACCTGACACTGGGAGCCACACAGATAGCTCTGGAAAATACAGACTCAGCACTAGGAGGTCTACCAAGGGATGGTCCAGGACACATGTGCTTCTAAACACAGCACCCACCAAGAGGAGCATGAATTGTTTCTGCATGGCAGCCAGCAGACAAAAGCAGTAGGGACACCCTCCCATTCATTCCATGTCCCAAGACTGGCCTGGTGCTCTGCATCCATCCTATCAGGACCCATCTAATTAAACCTCACATCCCATGTTCTCTAAGCTTCACTGTAGCTCATAGTTAAAAGGCACATTTGAAAGACTTTTTTTTTTTCCCTTCCCAGCCCTGGGGGTTGAACCCAGGGCCTTGCACATGCTAGGCCAAGTGTTCTACCACTGAACTACATGCTCATCCCTTTCTACAATTTTTCTTCAAGACAGGGCCTTGCTAAAATGCCCAGGCTGGCCTAGAATGTGCAATCCTCTACCTCTACCTCCCTAGTAGCTGGTATTATAGGCATGTACCACTGAGCCCAAAAGAAAGGTATACTTCATATCTTAAATTCTACAAACACCACAAACATGCACTCCAGGTAACAACACATTCCCAGGTTCCAAGTCAGGCCTAAAAAAACCTTCCTGTAGTTCCCAAGTCAATCTAACATAGCTTAGGGGCTGAGAATAAAAAAACAACCTTAAGAGACCACCTACTATAGTGGTTGGCGCATATCTTCAGGGTCTTGTCCCTCCTCATGAGAAGGCGGATGGTTCCTTTCTCCTTATGTTTCAGGAGCTTGACATCACCAGTGCCTCGTTCCTTCCATTCTGGAAGATCATTCTCTGAAGCAAATCGAAATAGCTTTGCTCGCCTGTTAAGAAAAGCCATTAAGTGAGTGCTAAACACAGCACAGCTATGTGCCACTGGATCCCATGTTTCTATAAACAGTCTTTCCCTCCTTTGAGCTCAAGTAACTACTAGGCACCCAGTACCACCCAAAAGAGCAGCACAGCCAACAAATTACAGGCCACTTTAATTTCACAGCCAAAATGAAAAAATATGTAAATACTTTCAACATTTTCCCTAGCAAAAACATATGACCCCTCAAAGGGAAAAAGTAAAAAAGCCCTCAGTAGGCTGAGCCTACCATAGCATCCTATGGCCACATAGAGGTCTTTCTCAGGCCCAAGTCTTCCAAGAGATAAATTTGCTCGTGTGCCCTCAACCCAGAGGACCAGGACATGAATCTCCCTGTCAAGGAGCAGTACTTCACACCTATAGGGGCACCCAGGATCCAGCAGTGAATCAATAGTTCTGTCCTGAGGGCTCACGTTAGCATCCTCCCTCTGCCCCCCCAGTTCTGCCTGTCTCTCTTCTACCAAAGACTCTACCCTCCTCCAACCTCAATTCAGTCAAGGGATACCATGTTCTCACAAGATTACCTAACAGGCCAGGCACAGTGGGTGGCGCATGCCTGTAATCCCAGAGGCTTGAGAGGCTGAGAAAGGAGAATGGGGAGTTCAAAGCCAGCCTCAGCAAAGGCAAGGTGCTAAGCAACTCAGTGAGACCCTATCTCTAAGTAAAATACAAAATAGGGTCAGGGATGTCAGTGGTTGAGCGCCCTCAAGTTCGATCCCTTACCAAAAAACAAAACAAGATTACGTAATAGGAAACCCAAAGATCCAGATGAAAAGGCCCAATCAACTGGCCTCATGTCTGAGAGCAAGTGGCCCTGCCCAAGATAGCAACACTTCTCAACCCATGGCAGGTAAGCAGGTGACAAGTATCATGTCACTTCAAGTACGAGCTACTCCCCACCTGGGGCTACAGCAATCCCAAGGTAGAACAGAGACCAGTGATCCAGTATCTTTAGGAAAATGCCCACCACCCTCTAGGACCGAAAGGGCACCTGTAGCTTTCTTTGCCCATGCTTCCTTCTCCAGCCCCATTCCCTGGAAGAATGGCTTGGGATGGAATTTTCTCATCTTCCTTCGTCCACCTCAGAATAGCCAAACCTGGTATCTTGGATCTACCTGAAGTGGGTGGAGACTAGAGGGCACAAATTTGCACAAGGAATAAACTAAAACCTTACTTTCACTGAAGTGTAACTGAATTTAATATCTCAGGCAATTCTGGCCGTAAGCTATGATCTCTGTAGTTCTGTGATGTAGTCACAAAACACAAAGCTCATACCTAGCGGTACTTCAAAACCTCCCCACCACTGACGAGTGTACACTACTTTTTAAAAAGTAACCCTGAGCCAGGTGCATACTTGTCTGAGGACTGCAAATTTCAGACCAGCCTGGGTTTCTTGGGTAAGACCTCGTTTTAAAATCTTGTCTCAAAAAGTAAAATGTAGCTCAGTGGTAGAGTATCCTGGGTTCAATTTCCAGACAACCAATCCCCAACCAAAAAGTAATTAAATACATATACACATGCACACATATACACACACACACGCGCACGTGCGCACACACACACACACACAAATAAACCTCATAAATAAAGCTATCCATTTTCATTTGTAATTACAAGAGTTATTTTGTACATGAAAAGAGTCAGGAATTCCCAAATTTCAGACTGCCAAAGTTTGTACTTGTTTAAATGTGCCCTAAACATTTGTTGAAAACTTAATTCAGCTTAACATAATGCTAGGCAGGTGCTCTACCACCAAGTTATATCTTAACATAATGCTGGGAAAGGGGCACTACCATTGAATTACATCTCCCCCTACTTCTATTCTTTGTAAATGGTCCACTCTTTGGTATTCTGATATAGCAACAGAAAACAGGTAAGATACAACTTTATGCTGCAAAAACAATTAAGACTTCCAGCTCCACCAAGGGAAGGAAACTGGATTGCTGGAGGTGAGATGGCAAGTAAGGACAGCTAGGGAACCCAGGGAAGGGTCCTGGTGGTCCTAGTGTGGTACAAGAAAAAACATCTTCAAAAACTATAACAATAGAAAATTACCAGATTTTAGCCCAACCCCAGTAAATCAATAAAAAGCTTATGTATGCCTTTGTTCAAAGAGCAGCCTGTCCCTCCATAGGTCAGGTCTTCTCCTTTCGGTTGAAAGTAAATTAAATCCTTGCATGTGTGTGCTCATGTTTTGTTTCATCTCATTTTTACTGTCAACAGAACCTATCTCTGGTAACACTTCAAATAGCCACAATCAAGCCAAGCCAAGATGTGATGCTCACAAAAACCATAAAACTTCCACATTACCAAAGATAACTTTCCCTCCAGTGACATGAACATACTTACATCTTAAAAAGTTCCTCTTCATCTTCCTCCAGCGTTTTAATTTCTTGCTCAGGGAGCGAAACTATAGGCTCAAACTGGGGGTCGTGATTGGATTCATCTGCATTCTCAGTAGAGGTATCATGGTCCTGATGAGGGTCCTGTGAAGGAAGATGCAAAGAGGTGATGCTGCAGGCTGGAGAACCTGGCCCACAGCAGGCATCCCCAATAGTGAATGGCATCCGGAAAACAAGGACAGGCCTCACCCCAAATCAGAATTTAAGCTCACAGACTTTCACATCAGCAAAAATGTGCATTTACATCCAACTCCACAAAATCACAGCACTAAGTGTGCAGCAAGACACTGGATTTCAGCACCCCTCCCCCAGATCCACAAACATCAATCAGAACCATGCAGACTGTCTGTGGCTCCTTGAGGAGTAGCCTAGGAGAAACTCCCTCATCTCTTTGAGCCCCCGTTTCCTCACCGGTAAAATGAAGATAATGATACCTGCCATGTGAAGATCAAAAGACACAATGACGAACTCAGTAAATGTTAGCCTTATGGCAAAATGCAAATCTAAGAGTTTTCACTAAGGGATATCCATGCATGCTCTTACTACAAAGACAAAAGATTGCTATAGACTACTAGTATTTACACGGAATTCACAATTCTGCCAAAAATTTTATCATGGCTTGGAAAATTAAGTTGATAGGTTTCTAAGAAAATCACAAGTCAAAGTCATAAGGGTCTGAACCAACTCAAAGATTTATAGAGCACAAATTATCACATTTAAGTTTAAGTTTTACAAAACACATGCCTTGACGATACAGAAAAAACCCCAGACTCACTACTAGACTCAAACAGGAAAAGAAAACATAAGCCCTTCGCTGTTCTTCCTTTGGTTTCACAGCACTGCGGCTCCGCTGCGGCCGGCATCCGACCAGACACTAGCAGCCAACAAAGCCGCCCCCGCCCTGGGTCGGCGTGTCCACGACCCGTCCCCCTCGTTGGAACACGAGCTTCCGCCACGGAGGCCGGCGGCGGTTCCAGACCTAAGGACCGAATGAATGAAGTGCTGCGTGGGCGACGGGATGGAAGAATACTGTCCCGGCGGAAAGCCCACCAATGGGCCGAGCCGGAGGAAACCGGTCTCCTGCCCCTATTCCGGGCAAGCAGGACCGCCTTTCGTGGCAATGGCTTTTTCCCGGCCCACCCCAAGGTCACGCGAGCGCCCTCCAGCCCGCGCGAACCAAGCTTACGCCCCCAGATCCCGCTAGCAGTGACTCCACAGGCCTCGAGCCCCCAGGCCCCGCGCGCTCGCCCCTAGCTCCACAGGCCAGGAACCCACAGGCCGGCGGGGGTTGGTGGCGGAGGCACGGGCCGCCCACGTGGCCGCCGATAGCGGCCCCAGCCCCCCGGCCCCCGCCCGCCCAGTCCCCGCCTGGGCCAGGCCGCACCTGAGCGGCCGCCATGGGAACGCGGCGGCAGCGGCAGCTCGACTAGTTCGGTCTTCACTGACTCCGAGGCCTCTAGGCGACTAGTCGTAGCTTCTTTCCTCCGCGTCTGGCGCCGGCGCCTCCCGCCTGCCCGCTCTTCCCTCCGCCCCGCGACCCGAACCCCAACCCCTGACCCCGGCGGCGGGAAACGCGCCGCGATTCAAAACCAGTGCAGCTTTATTGGCGCAGGAAGCGGACACTCATTGTCCCGCCCACCCTGTGCTTCCCGCCAAAACTCCCGCAGCGCATGCCCAGCCAGCCAGTCAGCCAGAGCAGCGCGCTTTCCCGACGGCCCCACGCACATTTCCGTCCACCGGCCGCGCGCGCACTCTGGCGCTGGTGAAAGGGACTGGCTTGAGGATCTAACATGGCGCGTTTTGATGTCGTCACCGGAAGCCAAGACCATAGAGAAGCGCGGCCCCGGAGATACGCGCTAGCGGATTGGAGAGTGGCTGGCGATGCGAGCAGCTGCCACGGGCCCCTGGTGGGCTGGCGGGTGGTGCAGCCCCGTGCCCGAAACGAGGCTCTGAACACCGGAGGTTCGATCCCCGACATACCTCTCCGCCCCCCATTTCCTGGGCAGAGCTGGAGAGTTGGCCTCGCGACGTCGCACCTGCTTTCTGAGCACCTTTAGTGTGACAGGCCCAACTTTGGGCGCCAAGGCGGCCCTCGTGTGGCGCCCACTCCAGGCAGCTGACTGTCCGGACGATGAGTGAGAAGCCGAACAACGAAGTAAAATGAAGGGAGACGCGGGCGGAGATGCGGAGGAGTTGGGGTGGGGTAGGAATCCCCTGGAAGAAGAGGTGGGATAAAAAGGTGACACGGGGTAGGGGAGGAGATGGTAGTGGGCTCAGGAGGATAGAAAGGAGAAGCCTGTTGGGGTGGGGCTAGGTGCAGGTGGGCTGAGGGCCTGGGTGTTGGAAAACGGATCCTGGGGAAGGGGATGTCAGGCCCCGGGTTCTGGTTCTCAGTCTGGCTGTTTGTCCACACAGTCCTCAGAGCCCATGGAGGTCTGCAGCCAGCGTTGCAGCAATGTCCTGGACAGCCCTGAAGCCCCAGTATCCCGAGAGAAGCAGGAGGAGAAAGAGGGGCCTAGGACTGCTGCAGGCTCTGGTCCTCAACCTGGGCTTTACAATTACATCAGGGATGACTTGTTCACCTCAGAGATCTTCAAGCTAGAGCTGCAGAATGTGCCTCGACATGCCAGCTTCAGCGATGTCCGACGTTTTTTGGGCCGCTTTGGCCTGCAGCCCCATAAAACAAAACTCTTTGGGCAACCACCCTGTGCCTTTGTGACCTTTCGCAGTGCTGCTGAGCGGGACAAGGCCCTTCGGGTGCTACATGGAGCCCTCTGGAAAGGCCGCCCACTCAGCGTGCGCCTGGCCCGCCCCAAGGCGGACCCCATGGCCAGGAAGAGGCAGCAAGAGGGTGAGCCACCAGCAATGCGAGTTGCTGATGTGGTGACACCTCTTTGGACAGTGCCCTATGCTGAGCAGCTGGAGCGAAAGCGGCTGGAGTGTGAGCAGGTGCTGCAAAGGCTTGCCAAGTGAGTTTGGGGTGGGATACTCTAAGCACCAGAACTCAACTCTGCTGCCTCCTCTATGAGAGATATACACCATGGGATCTGAGCTGTCAGGGTGGTGGCCAGTAAGTCTCCTGTGATTATCAGTGGCAATAGTGAGGTCTCAAGGGAGGGACCCAGGAGCTTGGGCTTTTGGGAAGTATTCCAATGTGGGTGGGGGGCGGTGGGCTGACTGAAACCACAGATCTACTTCATCCTGCAGGGAAATTGGAAACACCAATCGCACACTGCTGCCCTGGCTGCTCACACAGAGGCACAAGCACAACAAGGCCTGCTGCCCACTGGAGGGGGTCAGGCCATCACCCCAGCAGGTCAGGCGGGACTGGGATGGCCACAAGCCCCTATCCTGTGTTGGGGGCAGGGATTGCAGTTCTGTGGACCAAACCCAGGGCCTCAAGCATGTTGGGCAAGCACCATATCACTGAGCAACATACACCCCAGCCCATCCTGTGTTTTTTTAAAAACTTTCTTTTTGCTCTTCTCTCTCTTCCTGTTTTGTTTCTTCCTGGTTTCTTTGGTTTCATCATGTGACCAGTAGTTGTCTTGTTTTTCAACTGCCAACCTCTGTGGGGAAGTTGGGGTATTGCTCTTGCTGCTGTGTTACACAAGTGCTGGATAGCCAGGGTAAGGTCTGGCTGCTTCTTTCTGCCTTCTCTCCCCACAGACTGAGTATCGTAATAAGTGTGAGTTTCTGGTTGGCGTTGGGGTGGATGGGGAAGATAACACTGTTGGCTGCCGACTTGGCAAATACAAGGGTGGGACGTGTGCTGTAGCAGCCCCCTTTGACACAGTGCATATCCCTGAAGCCACGAAACGGGTGGTGAAATCCTTCCAGGAATTCATACGGTGAGATTCTGGGACTGGGCCCCTGGGAAATCCTGAGAGCACCTGGGAGCAGAGGGTGTGGGTCCTCCCCAGGGTTCTGGAGTGCCTGCTGTTGGGAAACATGAGGAGAGGGTGAGGGGAGAGATGATCAGGGGGAGAAAGCAGGAATGCTGTCCCTCTGGTCTTGGTTGGCAAACTTTGGGTACTAATGGCTGTTCATGGCTCCCACAGGTCCACCCCATACTCTGCATATGACCCTGAGACATATGCAGGCCACTGGAAGCAGCTGACTGTACGCACCAGCCGCCGCGGCCAGGCCATGGCCATTGCCTACTTCCACCCCCAGGTCTCAGGCGGGTGGCTCTGGTGGGGGAGGGTCTCTGAGAGTGGCCGTGGCACAACCTGATGGGGCTTTGAACCACCTACTCTAGAAACTGAGCCATGAGGAACTGGCAGGGCTGAAGGCCTCCCTGGTACAACATTTCATGGAGGGACCAGGCAGGACCAGCGGGGTGACCTGTCTTTACTTCGTGGAGGAGGGACAGCGGTGAGGAGCCCAGGTGGGAACAGGAGGGAAGCTTGCAGGAGCGGATGACCCTGATACACTTGCCTCTCCACACACAGAAAGACTCCCAGCCAGGAGGGCCTACTCCTGGAGCATGTGGCTGGGGACCGGTGTATTCAGGAGGACCTGCTTGGGCTGACCTTCCAGATCTCTCCTCATGCCTTTTTCCAGGTAGGTGTGGCACAAGGACATAAGAATGGGAGGCCTGACACAACATCAGAGCATGTTGGAGACAATGTGGACTAGATGGCAACAAAAAACTAGCTAGTCTTGCAGATATCTGTGGAAAGCATCTAGGTGGGGGAGCCACAGGAAGACTGGGGTGGGAAAGTGGTTGTTGGTCCCTGATTCGATACTTGTAACAACCCATAGATATACGCGGTGATGGCCCTTCTCATCACAGAGGCTGAGGAACAGGCACATTTTACCACCATAGGACACTACCCAGGCCTTGGCAAGGAGGAGGCCTCAGTGGTCTTTGGGCTAGAGAATAGTTTTACCCTCATTCTTGCTGCCATTGGAGAGACCTTTTAGGAGGTATGGAGACTTAGAATAGGTAAAGACCCTATTTTGGAGTCAGGCTTGGCAGGACCTGCTGGAAGGCCAGAGGTGGGGCTGGGAGATAAGAGTCAGGGACTCTAGGGCTCTCTTGTGAATTCCCATGGGAGGTAGATATACGCTCTACTGGCATGGCAAAGGAAGCCATTGGAGGCTGTAGTCTGGGGAGCTGGATGAAGTTGAGAGGGCCATACAAATCCATTAATTAGAGAAATGCTTCTTATAATTGGGAGTGTGGTTAGGGCTGTGCACATTGGCACAAATTTGGTTTTTAAAGTCAAGAGACTGGGTAAGGTTATTGGCATGATGCCAGCATGTCACTGAGACCCTGAAAGTCTCAGCAGGATGGAGCTGGGAACCTAGGTGTGTGGGGTGGGAGGCCTGCCTCTGGGGTCAGGGACTGCCCCAGGAGGGGAGGCCTGCACTGAGTGTGCCATGGCCACCTTCCAGGTGAACACACCTGCAGCCGAGGTGCTCTACACAGTCATCCAGGATTGGGCCCAGCTGGACAAGGAAAGTACAGTGTTGGATGTGTGCTGTGGCACTGGTACCATTGGCCTGGCCCTTGCCTGGGTAAGCCCTCCTGACCCAGCTGAGGTTGCCCTCTCACCTCTCCACCTTCCTCCATTACTCCCACTGACCTCTACAACTTGAAGGCTCAGTCCTTTCCCAGGTCCCAGACCCAGTCTGATTCAGCTGCCCACTTTGCCTCAGACAGGGAGCCATCATCTGGCCCTTTTTCCATTTCAGAAGGTGAAGAGAGTCATTGGGATTGAGCTATGCCAGGAGGCTGTGGAGGATGCCCGGGTGAATGCCCATGCCAATGGTGAGAGTCTGTAGCCCATGCAGCAGGCTGGTGGTCCTGGTTATACCTCAACATATTCCATGGCTCTGAGGACCTGTTGGGGGGCAGAGGGGCCCAAAAGGACCCTGTAGACCCACATGCTCCAGTTCTGAAGGTACCCAATAGGACAGAAGAAACTCCTTGGTCAGTGCTTTCCAAAGAGCCTTATGGTGCCACTCAGGGCTGGACCCATGGGGGAGATTATCCCAGGCCCACTGACAACAATGGTGCATCTTCAGAGCTAAACAACGTTGAATTCCACTGCGGGAGGGCCGAGGACCTGGTGCCCACTCTGGTGTGCAGACTGGCCTCCCAACAACTTGTGGCCATCTTGGACCCACCACGAGCTGGCCTGCGTGAGTGACATACACTTGGGGAGATGGCAGGTGGCCTGCCAGGCTGTGCAGTTTAAGGTCTTGGGGACCTAGCCTATATCTGTGCCTTCTTAGATTCCAAGGTGATCCTTGCCATCCGAAGAGCTGAGAACCTCAAGCGGCTCCTGTATGTCTCATGCAACCCCCGGGCAGCCATGGGCAATTTTGTGGAGTGAGTGTTAAAACAGGGATCTGGGGTGGTCCGGGGCCCAGTACTCTCCTGCCTCCCCCAGGAGTCCTTGACTAGTCCTGTAGGACTGACTTTGGCACTCCCTTCCCACTACAGCCTCTGCAGGGCCCCATCTAACCGGGTCAAGGGCATCCCCTTCCGACCAGTCAAAGCTGTGGCCGTGGACCTGTTCCCACAAACCCCACACTGTGAGATGCTCATTCTGTTCGAGAGGGTGGAACACCCCAATAGTACGGGAGTCCTAGAGCACCAAGGCCCTCTAGCCCAGCCCTCACAAGAGCCCGCTAATGATACCACACTGGAAGTTGGGGCCTCCTTTTCATCCTAGGCCCTGGAAACTGCAGGGTCCAGCTCTTCCAGAACAGGGCTTATCATGGGAGCAGAAGCTAGGGGGCTTCCCGTAGTCTTGCTTGTCTCAAGATGCTCAGAAGAGCAATCACAGGGCACAAGGCCTAGCTGCCTTGCCAGGACCAACATGACCGTGATATCGCTCAGAAGACAGCTGGACTTCTATGGCCTGTCCATCCCTCACCCCATCCTTCTGGAACAGCCAGGCTATGAGGACCAGAATAAACAACTGCTGAATTCAGGGTGTTTGTGAAGAACTTTGGTAAACAGGGACTCCTCTCTGCCCCATTCTGTGCGTGCAAAGGGACAGGGTGAGTGAAGTATCTCAACCCTATCCAAGCTGCCTGGGAATTTCTGCCCTTCATTTTAGTCTGACCCTTAAGCCTCTATGATACCCTACCAGGCCTGGATATCAGGCTGGGGTCAATTTGCATGACTTTCCAAAGGAGCTCACAAAGGCCCTGAAGAGTGCAAAGCTCGATGTTTAATAGGATGTTAGGTTTTATGCTTGGAGAGGCAGAGACACACAAGACCAAGTATCAACTGGATGTTCCAGAGCATGCAAGCAGAAGGATGTCCCTGCACCTGAGGAAAAGATCCTCCTAATTGCTCCCAAAATTAACCTGGCCCTCAACCCAGGAAGAAGGCCACCTCCATACAGTGACCAAAGGCTATACATACCAGGTTGCTGCTAACCCCCTAACAAGGACAGATGTGTCTACTAGTAGGCACTGCAGCCCACAAAGGGCTGGAGTCTGGCCAATTGAGGGTCCACAATGTCATTCCACCCCATGCCCAGAATAAATAAGTACCAGCCATTCCCTTTTAGAGTTTGCTTTATGTGTTCAGACCATTGAGGCTCACTCAAACAGCTGTGGCCTAGTGCACAAAAGCAGCATTGGCACAGGCCCCACAGTACAGCTGTGTGCATACAGGGCTTGTGCCCATATGTAGCAGAGGGAGGACACTAGAGACCACAACTGTGTGGCAGCACCTGCTGTGGTGGCATCTGGGACAGACCAGCCCAGTGAAGCTCACTGTCTTCTAGGCTAATGTGTGCACAAAGCTTTGGTTCACAATGGTCAATCTGGCCGTTTCAAGGGCAACAGTCATGGTCAAATGACAATTCACAGCTGCAGACAGGAGGCAAGACAGAAGCAAGTGTCTAATTACAGCAACTTGATTTTGTTTTTGTTTTCCTCAAGGTCAACACAAAAGTCAACCTCAGTCACACAGGTGTGAGGGAGGGATACAGTGTGGGCAACTCAGATGACATTCTGTCTCCAAGACAAATGCCTTCTTGACTGCAGGGATATGATAGGAGACATGTCATGGAACATGAGGATACAGCCCAGTGCTGGGCTCTGGTGTCCAGTGAGCACATGACCCCTGAACAGGTGCTGGGGACAGGTCAATTGCTGGCCACCACCACCAGGGTCCTGAACACACACATGCTAATTCAGGCAGAAACATCTACCCTCAGAGAGGCTACCCCGTGAGCACAGGTGACAAGTTGAAAAGCCAGCTGGACACTGGACCTGGCTATATGGGGGAACTGCCCTTGACACCCGAGGAGGCCACTGTCACTAAAAGTTGAGTCAGCCACCGTGTATTCAGCTAGCCCTTGGTGTACTGCACTAAAGGCCCTTGTTTCTTCAAAGAAGTCCGCTTGCTTAAATGCATGATTTTAAATCTACCTTCTACTCTCACTGTAAAAGTTTCTTTGCAAATGCTAAAATATCATAAAAGCTTTAAAAATTGATGGGTGGACAGATGGATTCAACTGTGCAAAAATCTTTGTAAAAAAACCTGTTGCCAGATGCCAACCAAGGCAGGGGCCTCAGTGTCCAGGGAGGCAACTGTTAGGACATTAAGACAAGATCAAAGAGTATTCCAAGCCCAGTAGCAGGCCAAGTTGATGCAGAGACTGGGTCTGGTGTCCTCACTGGCAACTTCAGTCACAAATAGAGAATAGCTACCTTGATGATTTGCCCGCAATCTCTGAAAAATAGTTCGATGCTAAAGTTGTTTATTTTAAACCAAAATGGTCTGAAATATTCCTAACTCTTATAACTTTTTCAGAGAAAAAGGGAAAACACAGAAGGCAGGTGGTAAGGGACAGGGTGCCATGTGCACCTTCTAACCAGGTCCCTGCAGTGGCTCAGGGCACAGGGGCCACCTGGCATCAGGAGCCAGCCACAGCCACAGGACTCAGCTGTCCTTACAACTGTCATCTGAGTATCATTTCTTGTCAGTGTGTGTTATATACTAAAAGTCATGAAAACCTTCATTAAAAGCCTGTAGCAGGTGCATATGAGCAGTCTGCAGCAGTCCAAATTATCAGCTTCCACTTGGGTAATCATTTGGAATTGATCCTTAAACACATCCATTCAGGCCTGGGAGCAGCTTCCAGAAGAGAACTGCTGTTTGACCGTTGTGCTGTATGGCCATGGCTGTCCCCATGTACCAGAGCCTCTACCCTCTGGTTTGGTTCCAGACACTGGCTGCAGGGAAGTTAACTTAGGTTGGTGGCCTGAGGCTGCAGAGTGAGCGGTGGGTGGCTGGTATTCTCCCAGGCAGTGCTGCTGATGGCCCCTTGCCCCAGCCCAGGCTGCCTCCCTCACACGTCCACAGTGCAAAGGGGTTCACCACCAGGCTGGGCAGATGCCACAATAGACATCTTAGGCTTTTTCCTAGTCTCCTCCTGGAAGAACAAAAGGTCAAGGATATGAGTGAGGTGGGCTTAGGAGAGAGGCAGGGTGAGGCCAGCAGACCAGCATCAGGAGACCCCTGGACTCCAGAGGGCACAGGTGCTTGCAGTGCTTAGCTATATGGAAGGCCTGAGGAGCAAGCTAGATTGGGACTGAAGAGGATCTCCCAGGGACACCATGTGCTATCACTTTCCTGGCAATCAGGACACATACCCAGAAGTGAAGAACTTGAGTGAGGTGACATCTTAGAAGCCAGGATTCACCCCTCCCTTTAGAGCGAGTCTCTCTCATCCCAGCTACAGGTATGGGTACTTGCGGGGGCAAAATAAGGCACAGATGGCATGGGCAATGTTTACCCTTTCCTCAGCTAGCCTCTTCATTTGCTTTGCTTGCCCAATGTCACCATGTCCTGGGCCTGTTGCCCTTGGGCCCCAAAGCCCATTTCCCAACTAGGAGCAGGCTTGTCAGCCCTGCTAGTTTCAGGCAGACAAGGTTTAACCCCACCTGAGAGCAAAAGCAAGGCATCTCCCAGACCACAAGCAGCAGACATCTAGTCCTAAGGATTTGTACATGGGTGCAGGCTGATGCCAGAGGTGAAAGAACTGCAACCTGGAAGGACTAGGTGGGGTTGTAAATGATCACATGAACAGTGCCTGGGGACAGGGAACACCACTATCTGCCTGATGTGGGGGAGGGGGGGGAGCGTATCCACAGTGGGTTTAGAAGCTTCACCAGGACAAAGCCCTGCCCAGGTTCAGTTTTCTGTGACCCTTTGGAGTTCCTCAGGAGACCTAAGCTGTTGTACCATCCCTGTCATCAAACACCCAGCTCCAAATGAAGACCCAGTCAGTCCTCAGAGGCTGAGCCCTTCACCCACTAGCAGGCTGGCCTACTGATTCTCTACCTTAACTAAAAATAAAGCTATTTTACAAAAGTATGACACTGAAGCTCAAAGAAAAGCAAGTCTCATCTGGAAGGAGGATTCAGACATTTCCAGAGTGTCAGAGGTCAGGAATGGGTTCATAGTATCTAATGTTCCTCCATAGCTGCCCTAGGGATGGTATGGCTCAGTGACTGCTTACAGGAATAAATGAGGGGACAGTAGTTGTGGATAGTGCTCACCCTCTCCTCAGCAAGTCTCTTCATTTCCTCCTGGAGCTTGCTCAGTATGTGCAGGTTGGGCTTGTTCTTCTTGGCATACTGCTGCAACTCGATCACGCTCTTGTCAGAAGTCTCCTAGGGAATAACAAAGCCTTGCTCTTAGGGCCCATAACCTTTCCACCGCTAGCAGCAGTTTGTCTCATGATCCCTTGAGGTGGAAGCACTAGGATCTGTCAGGCACATAGCAGCCAGGAGCTGTGGCCATGCAACTACACACTGACACCTGCCTATGATTACACCTGGCCTGCTGACAGCAGCAGAGAATGTGAAGCAGCAGTTCATAGCTCCCTGAACATGCCACCCCACTGGACAGAAAGCTACACTTCCTACAATGGGCAGAACAGGGAAGCCAGGAGCTTGCTGTGCCAGAAGCCCTCAGAACAGTGACCAGATCATGGATGCAGCCTGTAGAGATAGCACACTGCCAGCCAGATACATCCCCAGAACCGAGCTCTCTATATTCCCACAACTTGCACAGTAGGCAGAATAAGCTGTCTTGAGAGGCTATGGCCAAGGACACCTATTGTGCCTTGAGATGCCAGAGCTCCTCCTGCACTCTGTCAGCTCCTCCTGGCTATGTCAGGCTGGGCCTACTGTCTTCCAGCTGAGAAAGGTTTCCACCCACAGCCAAAGCAATGCTTGCCTTCTTTCCCTCAGTCTTAGTCCAGGACTATGCACAGCAAAGGCAAATTTAACCTACATTTGAACTCATTTACCTAAAATGTCTACCCTGGGGTGGGAAGTATAGCTCAGTGATAGAGCACTAGCCTAGCATAAGAGGCCCTAGGTTTGAGCCTTAGCACCACAGGTGGGGGGTTGAGGGGATACAAAATAATCAGATATCCTTTAGGTCATTAATGCATCCATGTAATTCTTGGACTCTGCCTTGTCATGACCAGAGCAAGGACAGGACCAAGACCATGGTCTCAAGGTTCCTGTGTTGTTCCCAGCTGCTGATTCAGTCCAAGGAAGGGTGGCATGAAGACTCAACACAACCCTCAGGGTCATCCTACCTGCAGCCACCAACCCACTACCCCTTAACTAAATGGGATTCTGACAACCCTGATGGTTTCTGTAAACATCAGGTATAAAAATAGAAAATGTCAACACTCACCTCCCAGTACCTCCCTCCACCCCTTAGGTTTGGGCACTGTTTTAAAAATTTTAAAATCTTGGCAAAAACTAAAGAAACAAAACACATGACAGATACATTCTTCAGGCTGCTGGAAGTCCTGAACTAAGCACAAGAGGACATTGCCCTGGGAAGGGCTGAGGGCCTGGCTCTCAATCCTTCACAAACCTCAGCAATGGGGCATGGTCTACATCTTATACCTGGCCTTGTAGCCTTGTCTCTCACTCCAGTCACCTC